ACTAGCCCTTATAGCTTTAGTCACCCACGTTCGTTCTTTTCCTGTATTTTTCATGGAATTTGCACCATACCATCATTGTTAAATTGAAAGTAACACTATCATCCCTCGAAGGACTTTTAAATGAAACTCAGCTTTCTGAAAATCAGGTATTAATTAATTAACAATCAGGTAGTAATTAACAATCAGGTGTTAATTAACAATCAGGTGTTAATTAATTAACAATCAGGTATTAATTAACAATCAGGTGTTAATTAATAAACCTGATGTTATCCTTTGCGTTATTTATAGTCGGACGGATGTCCCCATCGTTATTGTTCTTACCACGACATTTCGGCTTTTGTGCTGTCTAGCCTTCTTCAGGTGTTTGTCGAGATGTCCTCAGACAGAGTGAGAAAAATCTACCCTTGTAGGGTAGATAAAGGGTTCAGTTCGAAATTTTCTGAAAGTTATACGGATCAACATGTATCTGAAGAAGAACGGAAGACGCAACGGCCGAAACGTTGTGACAATAACAACAAAGATGAAGAGATTAGTTTGATTGTAAAAATATGTAAATAATGATTACTCCTCAACCCAGGGATTCAGAAATAAAATCCCGTATTAATTACAGATTTTTAAAATTTATAATCGATTAAGAGTCATCGAGTCCTACATGGGGCATGCGGACTTTAATGTATTAAATTTTCTGTTGAGGTACGTCAGATACAGGGTGTCCATTAAGTTTGTGTGCGTTTTAAAAAATTTATAATTTTATTTGTATTTGCGATAGAAATAATCTGTAAAAAATGCTACAAAGTTTAATGTACCTAGTTTTAAGTATAGCTAAAATCACTAATGTGATTTCAGACATTACTGTAAATCAGTTGGCAAATGTTTTCCATGAACTGAAAAAATCGTATTACCCTTTGTATTGTTAATGATGGAGGACATGTGGAAACTTAAATAAAATTTCAATAAAACCTTAAAACATATAGATTTACTTCTTTCTAATCCTTTTTACAAATTATTTCTATCGCAAATATAAATAAAATTGTAAATTTTTTAAAGTGCATACGAACTTTATGGATACCCTGTATTATGAACTAGGACAAAAGAGAAGTTGGAAATCCTTCTCATTTAAATAATCATTTTTTGAGAGGGGGTATTTAAGTTTTTATTCTTTTTTCTTGTTTAGATCTAAGACGGTAATTTAAAAAACAAAACAAAAAAACAACAACCTTTGTTTGTGCATCAGAAGTAGACAGATTCAAAAATACTGAAATCAAAAGATAGTTAAATGGATTCCATTTTTCTCCCACGAAAAAAAAACTTTAGCAAAAATCATTCTTTATTTTTTAGTAACGTTTTTCAAAATTGCAAGAGTTTTGCTCGAATAGCTCCAAGCAAGCTTAAAAAAAAAGAAGTTTTTATTCATTTTTTAAATTTTGAGCACAACGTTTTAGCCGGTGTATTCTTGATCCATCCTCATATTCTTTTTTCTGTTATACTAATGTTCCTAATGTTCACTCAATACGAGGCTCAAGAGTCACCCAAGTAAGAGTGTTACTAGGACGGCTAGTTATTCCCCGTTTCAAACGCCTGCCCAGGCACATTTTCTTTTTTTGCTGTATGATCCACAGAACTGTGGCTCATACTGCAACTATGCTGGGAGAATGCACGTTATCTAGCGTGATTAACAGTCTGAAGAAGGCCAGGACACTCAAATCCTCGGTCACGATGACTTATGACTTTGTGCTAGCACAGCCACGGAGGCTCCCAGCGTTCACTCACAAGGTCAACACATGGTATGCTTTTCAGGCATTTTCTGAGATTGACCATGGTGAGATTCGAACCCGGGTCTCATGGCTAGAAAGCGAACGTTCTAACCATTCGTTCACGAAGATTATCAGGTTATTGAAAATAGATAAGTTGAAGCAGTTAAGATTGTAGCGGGAGATTGTGCGACAAAGCAGCAGTTAGCAAGAAAAGGCTGCCTGAGTGGAACCTCCTCCTTACAAATGACAAACCAAACCAAGTCAATATATACTGAAATAGATAGATAGATAATATTACCAGCAATAAAAATCTTGTCGGCATTAAATAACCCACTGAGGTTGATATGCCGTAAAACAAACCAAATCAATATATACTGAAATAGATAGATAGACAGAGAGAAAATATTACCAGCAATAAAAATCTTGTCGGCATTAAATAACCCATTGATATTGATAGGCCGTAAAACAAACCAAACCAAATCAATATATACTGAAATAGATAGATAGATATATAAATAGATAGATAGATAGAAAATATTAACAGCAATAAAAATCTTGTCAGCATTAAATAACCAATTGATATTGATAGGCCGTAAAACAAGCCAAATCAATATATACTGAAATAGATAGATAGATAGATAAATAGATAGATAGATAAATAGATAGATAGATAAAAAATATTACCAGCAATAAAAATCTTGTCGGCATTAAATAACCCATTGAGGTTGATATGTCGTAAAACAAAATAAATCAAATCAAACCTGATTTTTACCGCCATGACATTGTGTAGTCGGTGGCATGTTGGCCAAGTGTCCCAGATTCCGATGGAAATTACTTTAAGGATTAAACGCCATGTCAAATTTGCTGTATATCTTTGTGTTAAAAAAATAAAAAATGTCAAGGTCTTTTTGGTAACCTTGTAGATCTATTTGGGAAGGATCTTTTAATAGTCCAGAAGTTGTACTGAGAGCAAAACGCTTGCATACAAACAGGAAATGGTTTGAGTAGGCACACAAAAACAGAAATGGGCTTATGACAAGGATGCTTCTTCTTGCCGGATTTTTTCAACATTTACAGCGAGGTTATCCCAAGGGAACTGAATACCCAAACAGTACTTATTAGTGGGGACGCAATCTTAGCAAGATAAGATACGCAGACGACTAACCATCAACTGTAAGAAGACAGAACATATGGTCATCGGAAAAGAAAACACCCAATATACTAATGTAACAATGCAGTTTCTCACACATCCTTAGAAGATAAGTAGATAAATTCCTTTTCCTTTTAAGTCCACTTAGTTATCTGAGTTTCTTAGGAAATTCGTCTTCAGTCCATATTTGAGTTAAGTGGCAGTGTTTTCGAAAATTCTGTCTTCAGCCGACCTTTAATTGGCAAACATATAATGTTGTTACTGATGTTAGATAATCATAAAAACAGTCCATTGAAGAAGCTGGCCACCCAAAAAGCAGAATTGATTGGTCTCTTGTTCCGGAACACAAAGGGACGTATAGGGTCGGTGGGACCCCAGCGATTATCCATATAAGCAGAGAGATCCGTGAGAAAGGGTCCCAAAAATCAGAGAAGTAGGTAGGTGACTAGTGATTGAGTAGCTGCCCAGCGGCCATGGAGGAAGGGACCAGTGGACGTTAAGGTGATAGCAATTTAGCCAGAGGAAAGATAGCTGGCTGAGAATTCGTATTATTGCTATTTACCAACCAGAGAGTCTTAAAAAGCAATTGTTATTCTTTGTGAATTTGATTACGGCGAAGTGGACAAACCTGTACACATAGCTAGTCAGGTGTATATGTAGACACAATCTACCTTGGATATCATCAGATTGTGTAGTAATTACAGAATCTAACAAGTTCAGAAGTTTAATTAAATATCTGGGAAGTTTCTTAACAAAAGAAGGGGAATGGAACACTGGGAATATTGCTGAACTGGGAATACAATGTCAGTGCTCTTGGAAAGCAGTGAATGCTGGACAATCTCCTCTCACATGACTAGAGTCACCACAAATATGGTTCTACAGAAGAATGATGAGAATACCATGGATGGAACGTGTAGTAAACAAGAAATGATTAAGAAAAATGGAAACAAGAAGGATATTTGAATTAAAGAGAAGTAACTGAAATGACTTGGACATATGACGCGTACGGCGGAGGAGGCGGGTATTCAGCATTTGATAATTTTGTGGCAATACGGGTTTAAAGGTTTTGATCAATATTTCTTTTCATGTTTAGCCATAAGGAATTGTAAATGTAGGACTACCTTACACTTAAGTAAAATAATAATAACAATAATATTAAGAATTTATTGCAGGAAATATCAAGTTTTATGGAAACATTGCTGACAATTATGTATTTAGTTACATAACAAATAAATAAAAATAATATAAATTTTGATACTATATTCGATTTGTTTTTAGGTATTTTTCATTTTCTCCTTTATTATCGACAGCATTTTAGAATAATTTGGTTGAAATGTTAAGTTTCCTAAGTTGAACAAACTAGAGATATTTCGTATACGCTTTCTTGCCTTTCTTTTCCATTGTTGTTTTCATGGTAATTATTTTTATGAGCATTACTCTATGATACTTAGACTTTATGAATTTAAGCGCAGTACTAGATTGGCTGGAAGGTCTCATCACTTTACAGATGAAATGGTTAGATGTAGCCGTAATAGTACATTTTTCTCATATGATCTAACATTCAGTAACCCCCTTTCGTCTTAGTGGCTATATTGCTTTGCATTGGATGAAATTTAAAAAAAACACACACACAGAGGCAAAATTCAGCCTTACGCAAATTCATTGAAGAATTTTAATTTAGTACAGACAAAGCTTGAGTTGCTTGTAATGTTGACAGACACGATGAAACAAAATTTGATTATTTTCTCTATAAATGAGATCGATATTTCGCTTTAATAAGATCATGCTTAAAATATCTATCGTATTTTTTATATATATGTGTGACAGAGATCACTTGTAAGTTGTCGAAATTGATAAGCCATACATGTTTTGAAGTGCTTTCAGGAACGTTTCTTACCGTGGGGTCGGCCTTAGCAAAACGAACTGATTCTTGTTAATGGAGACAGCGCTAAAGATAGGAGTCAATGAAAATACTCGAAGAAATTTTTGAAGAAAATAAAAAACAAACTGATTCAAGGAAGAGAGACAAAAAAGAAGGAAAATGAGGTACAAAATCAAGAAAATTTTACAGTATATTTGAGTAAAAGACGTTGAAGATGTTCTTTTCTATTGGAGTGTTTGTCTGGCAAGTGTATGTAGTGTACATGTACATGAGTGTCGATTATTTTCTCAACCTGACGTGCTTAGCAAACCAATATGGCTGCCTTTTGGAGTTTCTCTGTTTGGGGCTGGCTGCGTACATATGTACGTACAGCAGCAGATATATGTACTGGACTTTCTGCCAAATAATCTAATGCCACATTTTAAGTTGACAGAGTTGCTGATTTGACATCGTTTGACCACACAAAAATTTTCACCGGTGCATCAATGGAGAAAATATCGAGTTGGTATTCAATACACTCAAATCAGAACCATTTAGTAAGTTCCATTTTCGATTTTGCGAGGCTTGATTTGCAGTTTTGGAAATCGAAAACCGACATTTTTTCTGTTCCTTCGTCGAGAGCAACAAAGGGACAACGCATATGTGAGCCGGCAAATGCTGCCTAGTGACAGATAGTTTTACAATAAATGTTAGACAATGGTATTTAGTATATAACTGACATTTTTTTCGCATTTTTCTCTATTTTTATAATGTGTTTGCTCAATGATGGCTTGGTTTGGTTTGTTTTACGACATACCAACTTCAATGGTTTATTTAATGTCGACAAGATTTTTATTACTGGTAATATATTTTTTTATCTATCTATCTATCTATCTATCTATCTATCTATCTATCTATCTATCTATCTATCTATCTATCTATCTATCTCAGTATATATTGATTTGGTTTGGTTTGTTTTACGGCATATCAACCTCAATGGATTATTTAATGTCGACAAAATTTTTATTGCTGGTAATATTTTTTATCTATCTATCTATCTATCTATCTATCTATCTATCTATCTATCTATCTATCTATCTATCTATCTATTTCAGTATATATTGATCTGGTTTGGTTTGTTTTACGGCATCAACATCAATGGATTATTCAATGTCGATAAAATTTTTATTGCTGTTAATATTTTTTTCCCAAAAATGTATTGTTGGCAATATTTAAAAAAAAAATGTATTACTGGTAATATTTTTTATTTAAAAGATGTACTCCTGGTAATAATGTATTGCTGGCAATAATTTTTCCTAAAAAAGTATTTCTGGTATTAAAACCTATTTTTATACATTCATTGTGATTTGACACCTTTTGTGGGGTTAGCTATTTGCCCATAGCTGAAACCCTGACAGGTGCTACCACCTCGGTTCAGGGTGGACCTGGGAACACCAGCCATTAAGAGGTGGTTCCACGCTTCTCAAAAATCTGATCAAATGCCTTGCTATCTGATGTAGTTTTTCGTCTTACGCAGGACGCGAATGTAGTCTATTGTCCTACCCAGGACGCGGATGTAGTTTATTGTCTTACCCAGGACGCGGATGTAGTCTATTGACTTACCCAGGACGCGGATGTGGTCTATTGACTTACCCAGGACGCGGATATAGTTTATTGTCTTACCCAGGACACGGATGTAGTTTATTGTCTTACCCAGGACGCGGATGTAGTCTATTGTCTTACCCAGGACGAGATTGTTCAATGAAATTTTCAGTCTCTGATATCATCTTTGTTTGATTTTATTAAAACCTGTCGACCAGCGTACTATTCGACCTGGCTATTTTATTTAAAGGTGTATATCCCAAACGAAGATCGTTATTAAATAACATGTACCACAATATATGAACACTTCCAAACAATAGCAACTACAAAAATTAATCGCTCATGCAACTAGAATGGGGAAATAATCATATAATTATGCTATTAATGTTCCACATTAAAAAAAATTCAAACCAAAATTTTGTCAGGATTAGAAAGAGCTATAAGCGTTAGTGGACTTGAGAGATCTAATTTGATTTTTTGAAATGTCACTAACGCTGTTTGTTCAACGAATGTCGAATGTTTCCTGAATTGAAACGGTTAATTTTACGTCGCATACGACGAAACAATACACTCATGGATAAAGACATTGCTTCTTTCGAATCTCGGGAATAAGGGTTTGAGTTTATTACCGATGTGTTTCGGTCGTAATCAAAGGTTGTGCAAATTAATTGAAACAATACGAATAATTACGTTATTATTTCCTTTTTTTTCGTATTTTTCCAATGAAACATGACCTAGTTCAGTATGTTAGTACTTCTTATGTCCATTCCACGAAGTCGTTCCTTGCTGATTGACAACAGATTTTCGATTGGATTTAAATCAGGAAATTTTCCGGGCCAGTCGATAATACTTTGATTTGCTCACTGGTAAGGCTTTCCAGTGTGTTCGTGCAGAGTTACAATTTTCGTACGCTTCCTTGGAGTAATGTTCATCGCAGACAATGGCTGTAGGACAACTAATCAACAGTCGAGACGATAGTGTCTGGGTATGATAAAAATCTGATGCAATCACAGATGATGCAATATTTTTCAAGGCCAAACAAATTTCATCATACACCCCGAAAATAGATTCATATTACTGCACACAACTCCAAATGACCTAATCCGAGGAAAAAAGAGAAATCGATTACACCGTCACTCTAGTGGTTCTAAAACTGACCGAATGGTGAAAGAAAGCAATTCAATTAATTTACACATGTGTAGGTTTTGATTTTGAATATTTGAGTGGATACTGTGTGATTCAGGCTTTGGTCAAATCGGTCATCTCTCAAATATCTCAGAAGAATGGTTGACAGGGGGAAAAAAAAAAAAGGAAAATTCACTCCGTCCAAGAGTTAGAATGGTTTACGTTGAAACCTTTTAAGGTTTAATGACTACGAAAAATAGCCGAGTAACACTGAATATGACACAAATCTAAAAGTTCTGACAAAAACGCAATATTAATGGGCTTTTTTTGCAACCTTCTGCAAGCGACTGTCGCATTCCTGATATTTTAAATGTATAAATGTCTCCAAGTAGTTATTGGTCCGTCGGGATGTCTTCCAATTCATGACACCTCTCAGTGCAATGATGTTATTTTGCCGCTTTCAACTCCACTTCAAGTTAACATGCCGCGAGGAATACTGAATTACATGATAGCAAGAAACTATTCCCAACTTCAAAGAGCTTCAACAAAAGAAATGTACTTCATCAGATAAAGTGTGTTGATTTCATTAAGGTAGTAATCAAGGTGTAATAATATATAAGAACAAGGCACTGCTGAAAAGTTCTTAGCCTCAGCTAAAAAAGATTACAAAAAAAAAGAAAATCAGAACTTGGACAGATTTATTGAAGCTGACAACATCTAGGTGTGTGGGGGAATAATAAGAATTATTCATCGATTAGAATGTAGATATTGGATGCGTATTATGCTATTTATACAAGGAAAGTCTACAGGTCAGAAATGAATTTAATGTCGACCAGAAACCTTAATCTAAGAAGAGTTGATCTGCAGCGCACCCACTATATACTGAGTTAACAATAAAAGAAACCAGTTTTTTTGTACTCGGTATCAACTCAGGAGGTTGAAAAGTAACCTCAAAGCCACCAAGTGCAGAGTCGGGCCTCAAGCGACGTCGGCCGACGCAACAACATAAACATAAAATTAACGGACCTGAACTTATGTTCTACGTAGGAAACAACGTGATGTTTGTGGGGTGAGTGTTTGATAAAAATTATTCATCGATTAGGGTGCATATAGTGGACGCATAGTCTACTATTTATACAAGGAAATGCCAGAGGTCTGAAATGAATTTAATGTCGACCAGGAGCCTTACTCTAAGAAGAGTTGATCTTCGGTGTCCCCATTATATACTGAGTTAAGACTAAAAGAAACCGGTTTTTGTACTCGGTATCACCCCAGAAAGCTGAAAGATAATCTCAAAGCCACCAAGTGCAGAATCGGGCCTCGAGCGACGTCGACCGGCGCACCAACATTAACAGAAAATTAACGGAGCTGAACTTTGGTTCTACGTACGAACAACATAAAGTTAAACACCTGATCTATTAGGGATGGAGAGCGAATTCCTCATAACCTTCGGAAGAAGATTTAATGTTTGAAGAAAGACATGAAACTGCACACCTTTGATTAGGTTGGCATTTCTTTGATGCAGTTTAAAATTGAATAAACAATTATCTTACGTATGAAAAAAAGTCTCTTAATCTTAGCCGTTACTATCATTACATTACAGACAGGGTCTATTGTCCCCCACCGAATCGATGTTACCCCCGAATTTACGATACGAGCTCCAGCCAATTTACTACATCCTTAGGTAGTATTCATATAAAATACAAATTTTATTGTAACCTAATTATGTACAATAATGGATCAGATGCAATCTAGGTGAACAATTCAACTAGAAAAACTGTAAATAAATACAATGTATCTAAATACAAATTAGAGACATGTCATAATAGATCATTCCATTTTAAATAAATCAAGAATGTTTTACAGTAAGTTCTAGCATCAACTTGTGATTTTTCTTGTTAAAAAGTTTAATCATTTTAACATGTTCAACATTATGAATAAAAATAGGAAATTTTATATAGTTTTTTTTTTTAGATTTAACATGGGTAAAACAAATTCACGGATTTAGACAACCTCCACAACATAATGATATCAAAATCCTCCTTTAATAGTCAGTTGTACTTAGTTTAATTTGTAACGTATATATAAATGTAGCAAATGTTGATAAGATAGTGAGTGTCACAAAGGGGCCCCCGATCAGTCTAGGCACCCCCCTCCGATCGGGGGATTTGGATGTAATTATGCATTGACACTGATTAGAGACGTTTTTTTTTTCATCGTATTGACATCAATGGGATACAATGAATTCTTCTCTGCCTACCCAGGGAAATTATATTTGCTCATTAAATGTTTATCACGTGAATAGATTTTAAATCAAATAATTGCCCCTGCTAAACGGCCAATCGTTATTAAAATTATTTGAATAATTCAAACAAGGAAAATGGTGCTGGGTGCCAGCCGGTGGAGTTGAGGGGTTGGGGTATGGTCATCGTCGTTGTCGTCTTCTGCTTCATTTTCGTCTTTTTCGTTGACGATTTCTTCTAATTTTTCATTGTCGCCTGTTTCTTCTTCACCTCGGTGCTGTCGTCGTATATTTCTTCTTCTTCTTCTTCTTCTTCTTCTTCTTCTTCTTCTTCTTCTTCTTCTTATTATTATTATTATTATTCGTCGCCGTCATCATCGTCTTCTTTTCTTCTTCGTTGACGTAATCTTCTTTTAATTCTTTTTCGCTGCTATCACTGCGGAATTCTTATACTTCTTCGCTGACGTCTTCTTCTTCTTCGTTGCCGCCATCTTCTTGTACTTCATTTTCACTGTCGTCCCTTTCTTCTTCTTTTTGTTCTTCTTCGTTGCCATCGTCGTATTCTTCTTCTTCTTCTTCCTCAATTTTTTCAGTGCTGCCTGCTTCTTCTTCATCTTCATTGCTTTCGTCTTATTCTTCTTTTTCTTTTTCTTCTTCTTCTTCGCTGCTGTCTCTTTTTCTTCTTCATTGCTGCCTTCTTCTCCTTCGATACCGACTACTTTTGTTTTCTTCTTCTTCTTCTTCTTCTTCTTCTTCTTCTTCTTCTTCTTCTTCTTCTTCTCTGCCGAATTGTTCTTGTTGTTCTTTTTCTTTTCCGTTGCCGTCGTCTTCTTTTCTTCCTCATTGTTATCATCGACTTCTTTGCCGTCTTGTTTTTGTTGTCGTTGTTGTTGTCGTTCTTCGTTGCCACCTGATTCTTCTTCTTCTTTGTCGTCTTTTTCTTCTTTATCTTATACACACACACACACACACACACACACACACACACACATATATTTATATATATATATATATGCAGTTTATTATATATATTAATTATATATTATATATGAGCGGTACTTATTAGAAAGCGTTCAATATCGGAGATAGAGCTAACATATTTAGTTGGATTAATGTGAGTTTGTGACCCTGGGTTTCACGCTATTTGCGATCGTCAGACAAATTGATTAGGTTTTAAATTTTGGATTTATATAGGGTTGCGTATCTCGGTGTTTTTATGGAAGTGGGAGGAAGAATTGTCGCCGGTACGCCACTCATACTTACGCAAACATACATACACGCCCGTATACTCATTGACGTACGCAGACACACACACACGCACGTTCACCGACCGGAGCTCACACAAACATAAACATATGCGAACAATATGGGACTTGGCATATATACGTATATATATTTCGTTGTGTACATACATATGCATTTGGTTGCTGTATTCAATGTTGGATTGTGTCGCGAATATTTTTTTGTTTGTTGCGCTGTCAACGCGCAGACCGTTTCTCTATTTTTGTTCGCTGAATAATATTTTCTCGTACGCACGTATATACGTATGATGGGGGTCTGTGCAAAACTATGATAGGTAAAAATTGCTATTATATTTTTTTTTTTAAAGCTGTTTTGTTATTATTTATATCCAACATTGAATACAGCAATCAACTGCCACAAAGTCCCCAAACGACCCTCCGCAGGTTTTGAAATCAGAGTTGTCCTTCCGCTAGACCAGTTGCCATCCAAGGCTATAGAACCCAGTCTGTCTTGCTATTTACCATAGAGGGAGAAGATGAAGGTTAATACCTTTGCCAAGGGTATTAGTACGTAAGTGAATGTAATGGATTCGACTGGAAATATATATATATATATATATATATATATATATAAAAGAAAGAACAATAAGATATATAATCCGGTGTTTTTATTGATATTTTTTATTTTTATTTTTACAAAACAGTGCTCAATGTAAATTTACAGAGCATAAGTATTATAAATTAACTGATTAAAAATATGTTTTTTTCGCTACGCAGTAATAACCATGTTTAAAAAATGTAACCTAAAAAACTTTAAATTCAATTATATAATTAAATTAAAAGCATTAGTTCCGTTTCATCTTCAAGCGAATATTGGAATAACTTATTTTAAAATTTACTGAGTTTTAAACGCACATATAAATTCATAATTTCTTTTTTCCAAGGATACAGAGAAATCCAATCATTCAGACAGGGGCGGTAGGGTATTCATTTTTATTAACTATTGTTGTATCAATAATGAGTTACTTTCGAAAAAGAGGTTAAGTTTAGGGAGGGTAGGGGTGTATTTTTCAACGAATTCTGACATCTGTTAAATGCATGTAGTCTGTTTTTTTTTTAATTATTAACTAGTAAGGTTTTTGGCATTTTTCTTGTATACATGAGGATATTTTTGGGGTTTGTTTGTGTTAGAATACATTTTATTTGACTACAATTTTAAAATATTTTTACTCTTAATTACTAAATAGACTATATTTTTTTTTAAAAACAAGTAAATGTAATAGAATTACTTACATTATTTAACATTATTTTTTCATATCAAATATAAGTATGTATATTACCAGCTCTCATTTTTAATTTTTTTAAAAATATTATTTTAGGAAAATGTGAGCATTCACTATTATGACTGAAGTATGAGTTCATACACACACATAGAGACTACTATATATATATATATATATATATATATATATATATATATATATATATATAATAATGGACTCTCCCGTCGGTTTCGACGTATGAGAATCTGACAGCTTAGTTGATTCAGTTATGAAATTTTGTGCGATAATCTAAAGTGGCATTTAAGACCCGCTAGTGATTTACAAAGGAGGTCACATATGGAGCAAAAGTGAGGATTGGGAGATGAGATCACTGTTAGATTGGCTGACCTTTTAGTTCTTGCTCTCGCTTCTTGAAGATGATTCAGACAAGTAGATTGCAAACTGCTGAGTCCACTAAAAAACGTTGATCTCCATTCTACCCGCTCCAAAGCTAAGCGCTCATGGGTATTATATGGTATATTGACAGCTGACAAGTTTCTTTTTAGCTTGTCTTTGTATCTTAGCCATGGTCGTCCTATATTACTGTAGCCCTGATCTAACTGGCTGTACATTAGGATCTTGGGTATCTTGTCACCAGACATTCTCAAGACATGACCAGTCCACCGTAACTGAGACTGTATGAGAAAAGTCTCGTTTCCTCCAAAATTACACTTGTTAAACAGGTCTACGTTATATATATATATATATATATATATATATATATATATATATATATATATATATATATATATGAGTCTCTGTGTGAATGCTCACAAAGATAATAAATAAAAATAAAATAATATTGACAAAAATTCTTCCTAAATAGGATACACCTACACCCCCGACTTCCCGAACAATATATTTAGTGACGTAAAACATATAAAAACCCAATGACTAACGATATTTTTTCTCCACTACATTTCAGCAATTAAATAAATTTATTCCCATTGACATTTAACAGCACCAACGTTAAAAATCGAGCACAACAAACCATTAATACCTTTTTTCTGTAACCAGATGCAGAAAAGTTTTAAACAAGGCGAATTCGCCATGCGACACATCATAAAGCAATACGTTTAACCTGTCGACTTGTCGGGCCGGTGCCCGCGTTGTGAGATAAACAGATATGTCTACTGAAATTACCTACGGCAAACATGGCGGACTGAGAGAATGAGTCCACCTAAAGAAATTTCAAGAAACCACAAGAACTGATATATATATATATATATATATATATATATATATATATATTAATGCATGCTTCATTAAATAATTTTTTAATCCTATCTAATCTCTCGGTTTACATAAGCCATCATCATTGTCATTGCTTGGAAATCTTCCATGAAAAAAAACAAAACAAAAAGAACGAAAAACTTATTGCCATGTCCGTGTATTGTTTAATTTATTGTAATGTACTTGTCATCTCTGATGATGGCTTATGTAAGCCGAAAGCTTAGATAGGATTAAAAAACATGTATCAATATGGTGATTTTCTTTCGTCTTTCAATGATAATGTCATTAAGCTTATCAGACGATATGAAAGAAATTTGCTTAAAATAAATAGACAAAACTTCGCCCTCTCCGAGTTCTCCACTGCCTTAACCGGATATTGAATTCAAACCCTTTGGGTCCTGTCACTAGATAAAACCAACCGCCTTTATCCACTGTGCCATGTGTCCTTGAGAATTTATGGATATTAAAAAACTAATGTCTTCAGCAACCTTTTTTTACCAGATTGCAATTTTTGTTGTTATTATCGCTTTTCTCAGACACTCCTTATTACTGGTTCCCATATCGTATTCATTTGTATAGACAGATAAGAAAATCTAATTGTAAAAGACGTCTGAAAATAAGTGAAGCATTTTATAGAAACAAAGTCTCAAGCATAACCTATTTGAAAACGACAAACGTGTTGGATCTCCTTTAAAGACATCGTCAAAGAAGAATTACTAGTATTTACACTGAGCACAGCTTAGACTGAATGTTTTTGTTATGGTGACCTATCTATATTAGAGTGAACTCTCCCTCTTTCATAAATACTAACCTGCGAGATTTCCTAAGCAGTCGGGACGCAGTGTAACCTGACAGTTCGAACAGACACTTCTATCTGCTGACTAATAACACTCTTATTTTGTATATATGTTCTGTTATTTCAATACACTTGTTCAACCTACCCTTCTTCTTTCTGTGTCTTTCTTTCTGGCCTCTAACAGGCTACAGCAGTTTTAGAGAAAGGTGAGCAGACTGAAACACTTGTGTGTGCGCGCGTGTGTGATGAATAAACAAAATCGATCGAAATCGATTGGTATAAATAGAATACAGACGAAGCATCTAGGGACAAAGAATATATGTGAACCTGGAAGCAAAGATCGTTATGCAAATTTTTGGTAGACACCTATACCAATTGGGTAGGGTAGATTTTACAAGTAGGTGAGTTATGAAGTATCATGGACTGTTGAGATTTAATAGGTCATGAAATGTACGAAGGCTAGATGCCAATATCTTATATGTTGCCTTCGACCAGGATTTGAACACCAACCGCATGAGCCAGAGATTCATCAAACGATCAGCTAAAACTCAAATGTCAATGCAAGAATAGCGTGAGCCACTTAGTGAGAATCGAACTGACAAAACTAGCTGACTGGTTGACTTGTGTGGCAGGTTTTTTAATCATCACATTATCTTAGAAACCCGAGATATAAAGAAGGAACGCGTTGAAACAGACATATATATATATATATATATATATATATATATATATATATATATATATATATATATTGTCATCGACAGACAGACTGTTTTGTTGTATCACAGTGTGGCTAGACGTCCAGTTGCCTCTAGCTAGGATCGAAACCCGACTGAATTGGCAAGGAAGAAGATGAATTTAAGCGTATTTATTTTTAGATAAACACACAGTGAGTGAGAGAACTCAATTCGATTTAACGAAGAGTCTTGCATCATTAGCCGTATTAGTCACTGTTTACAAACTCACACTTCCTCCCCAGAGAGCTCAACCGAAATAATTTTTTCAGGAGCACATATATGCTAAACACGTGAAAGTGTGTAGCTTAATATTACATGACATTTTTAAAAACGAATCAATCGGCTTCGCTCCCGCTTTTCAGGCCTCTACGGGAGATTTAACTTAGATTAAAGTAACAGGAAAATGTGTAATGAAGAGGAGAAAAAAATATATATGTGTGAGTGTGTGCATGGGTGTGTGTGCGTGTATTAGAACCATGAATAAGTTCACGCTGTTTTCCAATAGATGGCGTTCCTAGAACTGCGTGCGTGTAGTTTCAGATGGTAACTCATCTATAAGGAAGTACTATAAGCAAGCTTGGAATT